CTACTTTGACTTTTTTTTTAAATAAATTAGATTTAACCACAAACATTGACATGTGCTCTTTTGTTAACAAATAGCTTGTGGTGAAATTGTTATTGTATCCACTAGTCTGATAATAAGAATTAGATCGGCCAGGGAGGGATCTTTGCATTTTAAAACGAATATCTAAAAAAGGAATTCACTAAAATGCATTCAATATCCCTTATCTTTACCCTCTAGCAACATAAATTTGTACTGGCTTAATAATTAAGGAGACTTTTTTCCTAATTATGCAGTTGCTATGGTCGAATATTTATAAAAATTTGTTTATATAAGCAAATACAAGTAAAAGAAATTGAAAAACAACAACAAGAAAAAACAACAAAAAACAAACAAAAAACAAACAAATATATAAAGAAAAATTAAATGTCAAAAAAGAGTACATTGTTGTGATTTATTAGATGTACTGAATGAATTGAATAAAATAAATGAATGAAAAGCAAAACGAAATTTAGAAATACTTACAATCTCTTTATTTCAAACGCCATTGTATATCAATAATTATTCAAATGTCACATATCATCAAAGGTTCTGTTTGATTTGCATGAAATAAATAATTAAAATTTATGAACGATTGACCATCGTAAAAACATTTACCAAAATATACTCATGAAACTTCTGTTCTCAGCTAGTCAAAAATTTAAACATATTTATAACTAATGTAATGTACTGATATATACTTACTTTCAGAGAGATTTCATAAATTTAAAACAAAAATAATTTATTCAATTATGTCGAACATTTTTCTAATTCATTGCGATTTAATCCTATAAAGTAACACATTTAATTGAAAAAAAATTCTGTTTCATACAGTATAAATTTATAGTTAATGAGTAGTATGTATAATCAATATTATGCCACCATTACCTATTCAGCTATATACTGTTAAACAGACACATACTGTCACATACTGTCACAAAATCATAAGCTGTCACAGATGGACATCCTTCCACAAAGTACCATTCTGTCACTGTCACAAAGTCGCATACATACTTCACATACTGTCACTGAATTACATTCTATCACAAAGTACTATTCTGTCACTTAGTCAAATATTTTCACAAAGTCGAATATTGTCACACAATCACATATTGTCACAGAAGGACAGAGCTGTTTCATGTTAAAGTTATTTCAATTTAAAATATACAGCAAAATTTATAAGAAGGTGGACCAATCTTATATTTATTGTACTAAACACCGAAATGACTTGTGTTTCGGTTTTAAAGATTTGTTTGTTTCCAGCAAAACATATGATGATTAAACTCATATTTATGTACAGTATTTTCTTGAAATTGAACTATGAATTTTACAATTCTCGATTATCTTTGGTACATACTAACTATTCTTAAAAGAAATCGAAATGGCATTCGACCCTTCTTTAAATCCACGAGAGTTACCCATTCATTTGAGGACCGGTTAGGCTTTATTTTTCTGATGTTGTTACACATCGATATTTATATAATTTGTACATATATAACACTCGTGTATTCCACAACTAGTAGAATCAGCTGAATACTACACAGTGTGGTAGTAATGTATCTTAATAGCACAACTGCAAACATATCTCACGTTTTTGAATGTTATTCTAGTTTGATAACGTAGATAAAGTCATCTTTTTCGCAGCCAACAATTAATTGCCTGTTATCATCATCAACACATAGAGACAAAGGTATTCCTGTTACTGTTAACAGAACTCGGTTTTGCATATAGTTCAAACCTGATATTTGATGGATGTTTTTGGAACTTTTTCCACAGACATAAATATTTCCTTCCTTGTCTACCGCAATGTCTGTTATGTCAGCTATTATATTTCTGTTTTTGCTCTTGAAATTCCATTTCTCTTTTAGAATACTTGCATTGTCTTCATCTGTCTCAACGCAATACAATTTCATATTTTCATATACCAGATAGGCATTTGGTGTACTTGTCATCAAGCGAATTCTCCCTGGATTGTCTAAAACCTTTCTCAGCCATGGTTGGGTGTTTCTATAGTAAGTTACTGTCTGTAAAACTTTTCCGTCGTTCATGTTTTGTATTTGAATCTCAATTGTCTCATAATCACTCTTTCTCGGGGTCATCTTTTCTTCATCAGATAACAAAATAACAACTTTGTCCTCAGTTGAACTTAAATTTCCAATACTGATAGGATAAAGTTTGCATGGGAAATTCCCAGAGCAAGATATATTATCACCATCAATCAAATACTTCTTTATACATTTAACCCCATCAATGATTACAGCTAAACTATTTCTTGAAACATGACACATATCTATCGGTTTTCCGTCTAGTTTTGACTCCATCTGAATAGATAAATTCTTATTCAATACTTTGATTTGTTTGTTGGAATAGTCTGTCAAGACAACTCTCTTATCCGGTAAAAGGAGCATGCTGGTAATAGAACATTTCTCTATCGGTTGGCTCGTTGTACTTTGTATATCATACATGATTCTACGTTTACTGACCGTGCTTTGCATAAACGACTTACGCACTATATCATTTCCAACATTATATGTTTTCTCCCTCAGGTCGTCGCTGGAAAGTTCTACCACATTTTTTCCTGCTTGAATTATTTTCCTGATAACCTTCATTTTGGCCCTTCATGATACGCACAGACCCTATCGAAGCAATTTCTTCAAAATCTTTATTGCGATCAAACTTTAGACTTACCACTGGTTTCGATTCCTGTTTTATAGTTTCATCTTTAAATTGTTTCATACTCTTTTCAACTTTCTCGCAAATGATATTGATTTCAGTCGTGTTACCATACTTCAATGCGAGATCAAGCAGACACTTTTCCGTGATTTCCTTCTCTTCTATTTCCTCGCAGTTATTGATATCTTTTTCTAAATCATGAAGAGTTGTAGTCACAATATCATCTATTTCAATTTTACATTTTTCATTTAGTTTCTGTAGTTGTTCTTGCAAGCATTTTATATACTCTGACTTTTCCATTTGAATAAACGATTTTTTGTTTTGCAATTGTTTAATATTTTCTTCTTTAGCATTCCGAACCGAGACAGTCGTTTCATAAATTGATTGAAGCGTATTTGGCAGTAAAGTATAGACATCATCCATAGTACTGGCTTTTTCTCGGGTTTTCATATTTGCAATTTCTATAACTTCCTCGCATTTTCTATGACTGACAACCAAACATCTCGTGCAAATGAATTTTTCGTGAGCTTTACATTTGTAAGAAACGTCCATTTCAGGATGATCGGTACATGACACTAATGATTTCATTAGCTTAAAATTGTTTAGATCATCTGGTATATCTTCATCAATCATAACCTTGTGGTTTCTTGTAGCTTTACTTCTTCTATGATCTCGTGCACATCTTTTGCAAAGGTATTCGACGCAAACTACACAAAAGGAATTTGCAATCTCGTTCACATCATCAAAAAGACAAGGATCACAAAGTCGTCTGTTATGTTTGTTTTCTTCAGGTGATTCTCTCCAGGCCATTTCATTGTTTTCGTCATTACAGGAATTTACGTTATCTTCAAAAGATACATCGTCTGACTGGATTTTTACTTTAATGTTCCCGTCTTGTTTTTCTTCGCTATCGTTTTTGTTTGCCACAATTATTAAATCCATTTGCGCACTAGTATATCCACCCGATGAATTGTTTTGTTTAACTTCCGAGTCTTCTTTGTGTGACACTGTTTCTAGACTTATGTATTCGCTGACGGCCAATTTCATTGTCAATTCATCTCTTCCTTCCTGACTTGCAGTCATGTCTGCCATATTAAGTTTATACACAATATTGGCGCAGTTTTTCTTAGATATACTGCATTTGGTAGAGATAACGTATAAGAAGTTTACACGCAAACGGCTCGATAAATCATGATGACATCCTTCGAAAAGTGATGCTCTTTTAGCTGACACACTTTTAACGCTTTTATGGGTATTTCGATTCATCAATACTTTCGTTAGCGTTATACTTACGATACTTTCTCTTTTTTATTTTTGTCTCAACACATATTAAATTATAAACTTGTGCTACCTAGCTACGTATGCGACAGTACTGAAATAACCTTTCTCAATTAGTATAGCTTTTAATCCATAAAGAGAGACCCATCTTAAAATCTGTTTTATGTAGGATTTCAAAATGTGTCTGACGTTAAATACTTTAAATATAGTAAAACAGAATCCAACACGACAATATTGAAAATGTTGCAGGCTCGGTTTGATTGAACCTTTTCATAGACGGTACTGGAAAGTGCAAGTTACCGTCAAGCCCCCTGGCACCGTCTTAAGCAGAATTCAACATTTAAACAGGAAAATGGTGAAATTTTGAATTAAGAAACATCCGCAGATGTGTTCATACGGCGGTAAGCATGGAACCTTCAATGTGACACAGTAGTGCCATTCCATGAAAAGCGGCGTATGTTTCCCAAGTAACAGAATGCGTGTGACTTAAACGAGAAAACAATTTTAGGACGTTTTGTAACAGATTGTTTGCTGTGCTTGCAATTGTTACAGATAAGTTTAAAAATAACAGCATCGTTTGTTGCTCTGTACGAGTTAAGAATGACACATATTTATGTATTTTAGACTTTTAATTTTGTTATTGGGGCCCAAGCATAGGAAATTAACACATACGTGATAGATCCAATAAAAATTCGCTGGACTGTTCTTATATATAATTTACCTATTCAAATTCATTGTAACACAAGGTTGCAAAAACCCCTTTTTCACGGGTAAAACTTCCTGCACACGCGTATTTGTATATATCCTATTTAAGTTCGAAACAATTAAGTTATCAACATCTAAATCTTACAAAATCTATTCTTGCGTTAAACTTATTTAAAACTTTTTTTTCTGTAAGTATTAAACTATTAACAAAACAAATGCTTCATGAAAATGCTTTTAATGACAACAACTTGCTTGCAAACATTATGAATGCATGAATGAAAAGTCTTATAATTATCATGATGTCTTCTTTAAGGTCAATGTTTCATCTATTCAATCGTAAAATGTTATTTATTTAATTTCGTTTGGTACTGTTTCAGTACGCCTAGAGTAATCATGGTAATGATACAGCGGCGCAGCTCATAGAACGCAACGTACTCGTATACGCTGATTCTTTCACTACACCAAAGGGTATGAAATCCAATCAGGATCTTGTGAAAAATGTCACCAGAACCTTATTTCAATTCCGGAGGCATTATACTTCAAGTGACGTCATTTTAGCGTTGGATTCTTGCGTAATTAGATATTCAACGGTTTGTAGAAGACACATTTATCTTCCGAAAATGCAGATAAGCGTCCGAACAACTGTATTATCATTAACATTAAATTTTGTCAACAGATTAGAAAGTTTCCTTCATGAAAACAAGGTAATTTCTTATGATATGAGGAAACATTCACAGATGAATGAGTTAAAAGGTATCGACGTTGTGCTATGTGTAGCGTGGAAACATCCAACATTTTTAGTGTGTGTGTGTGTTTTTTTTTTTTTTTTTACGTCAATACTAATCACTTTGTTAAAACGTACGGCTACTTATTATAGTTCCTTAGGTACATGTATGCATGTGCTGGTAATTTGTTTCATTGTTATATATTTTGTTTATTTGTAAAGAGGATACCTTACGTATCAATACAATACAATACAATACAAATTAATTCCGCTTTAAACTTACAACGTTTACCATAATAACAACAACATAATTATTAAATACATTAATTCTAAGTTTTTATTATGGACGTAAAATAACCCGGAATTTGTTTCATAGGCTGATAATCCCAATGCTGTCTTCATTAAATACCTGTATGTAAATGTGTAAGGTGATTCATACCCTATGGTTTGGTAAAATATTTATTAAATGTCGCCTAAGACCGTTTCAGTTCACATACAATAAGCATAATAACGTCACTTCTGCGCTTTTAATAAAACTCATAAGCATTTACCTGGTTTAGGTAAAATAGCAAATATTTTAAAAATATTATCAAGTATGTTTTTGAGGTCAACTCTAGATCTAGAGCTGGGGCATTTTCATTTGACTGCCATTTTGCTTGTAATATTTTCAGTACTTACACTCTATCTTTATATCTGAACAAATAAAGCAGAAGGACTGAAACTATGTACAGGACATACTTGTAAATATTTGTTTAGTGACTATGATTGAAAATCATTTATCTTGATTTTGAAAAACTGATTCAACTTATCAATTGATGTAATAAATTCTTTTTCATGGGCTTTGCACTTTAATGTCACTTTCTAACACATCTTTTTCTTTTGAAACAAGATTTTCAATTTCATTTTCTAAATCCTTATTTAGGCTGTCAAACGTATTTATAATAAGATCTCTTTCTTGCTTTAGTGCAGTTTGTTTATCGAGGAGCAATTTAATTTTTCTTCTTTGCATTCATCGCACACACTGTTGCCGCATGAACTTTAATTCGTCCGTCACGTTATTTACAGATCCATCTGAAATTTCACTCCCTAACTCTCTAACATCGCAATTTATATAATTTGCAAAATGACATCTTCGACACATGAACTTCATGTAATCTTTACATTCTATCGAAACATCTTCATCTGGGTGTTCTAAACAAGACACCATCGATTTTATAGACTTTAAATCAACTAAATCATTATAAGTACCCTCTTGTATAATATAGTTTCGGGAAGCTTTATTTTTACGATGATCACGAACACAGTCAGAGCACAATTCAGCACAATTCATACAGAAAGCCTCAGCTTCTTTTTCAACTCCATCAACTTTGCACGTCATACATGTGCTACTGTCATTGTCTGTTTCTTTGCTACTGCTTAACACTTCCACCCAATTTCCAATAGTATGTTAAAAAAACAAATACCATTGTTATATATTATAATAATGCACATTTGAAACAATCAACAAAAGCTTCATTACAATTATTGATATCTCAATAATTTTTATATTATTGATTTCTTTATATTGATTGCATTTAAAAGTACATGTTACTTGAATATTATTATGTATATGATGATGTACTATGTACAAATCATAAATAAAAGTTCTATTCTGTTCTGTAAGGTCGCTTTTCATTGGATAATCATGACGTTTATATTATTATACTGCAGCATGATTTAATAAACTTAACACAAATTGAAATACACGTTAATAGGCATATATCCTTATGACACTTGCAAGCGTGTACACAAATATTCACTTTAAACTGACTTGTTGCTGCTGTAAAAAGTCATAGGAGATATTTCTTTATTTTCTTTAAATTTCAATTAAGCATCCCCTTTTATGCATGATTTAGTTCTTTTATTTTAAAGTTTGAAATAGAATGATATCCAAATGCAACACAATTTTTAACAGAGAATTTTAAGAGAGACTAATATAGAGAATACTTCAAGGTCTTTCAGATCAGGGTCTTTCAAATAGAATAGTCTGGCGTCGGACCAATTTTACGAAAGACCCTGGTGTGATGTGATTACAAAAATACAACGTTTTTTTTATACAATTTTGAAGAAAAGTAAATAAAATTTTTTGAATATGTTTGTAGGTAATTTCGAGAATTAAGTAGAAATGGTATAAACATGCAATTTTATTAAGAGTTTCGTTTTTAACAAATTAAACACTATAAATATATAAACAATCTTTTAAGGGAGGGAAATCAGGGAGATGGGAAAACTTGAATAGTTTCAATCTAATGAGTTACTGCCCTTTCACATGAAGAACATTATGTTTCGAAAACAAACAATCGTTAACTCATTGACTTTGTTTCCAGCATTATAGTACAGTATTCATAATTCCTGGTTCCCTACGACTACGTTCAAAGAACAGTAGACAACGGTAAACATCAATTTAATGGTTACTGTTGTCTATTGTTCAGCGAACGTAGTTGAAGGGGATCGACAGCGGAACAATACGGTGTAGGATTTGTACTTTCATTTTCGACAACATGGCCGATAATCACTGTTGTTTAGCAAGATTTTAACAAGTTGGAGTGTCCGAGTTTAAATGTAGGTTATTTAAGATTGTATGTAAGGTAGAAGAAGAATGTTAACAATTTTCTAAATGCATGATGTGTAAAGAGTAGCAAAATAGCTTGTATTGTTAAAGAACTGGACATTGTGGTTGTTCCACAGCATGTCCTAGTAAAGCTCCATAGCGTTACGGCGACGTGGTACAAATTTATAGAAAATAAATATCCATTTTTTTTACTTTCATTTATCACAGAAAGGTTGTTTTGGGGTTTTTTATTTCTTTTCTTCATTTTTTTTGGGCAGGGTGGGGTGGGGGTATGTATGGGCACCAAGACTGGACGAGTACCAGTGGAATAAAGGTCAAAGGTAAGAAGAAAGAAAATCTTGTTGGGTCCATAACTCGGTCATGCATCTAGGGCTTTTAAAGTCAGTTGTCATTAGTGATAAACATAAAGAGATGGTGTGTCAATCGCGCAAGACCTAGACAACTTGCTCCAAGGTCAAAATCACACTTCAAGGTCAAAGTTTAGTAATTAGATTTCCGGTCAATAACTCTGTCATGCATCAAGGGATTTTGAAACGATTTGGCACAAACATTTAGCATGATGAGGAGATGTGTCATGCGCAAGAACGAGACCAATATCCCAAAAGTCAAGGTCATATTTAGAGGTCAAAGAAACTAAATGTTGACTCATGGGGCATAATTAACATTTGTTTTGTATAAGTTCTGAAGGCAATGCTACATATTCAATATTTAAGTTTCATACAATAAGACTTAAACATATTATTTCTTATGCAGGTTAATATAAATCATGACCCAATTTCCCTTGGGGCGTGGAACATTTAACCCAATGGACATAAATAAGATACATGTACATTTTGTAATGGTCCACAAGGCAATACCACATGCCAAATATTTAAGATTTAGGCATTTCAGTTTGAGAAAACAAGGCTTAAATATGTGTTTCTCTCTCTATATATAAAGTCAAGTTGTCCCCTTGACCTACATATGCAACAGACCGGAACCATTTGAACAACTTTGAAAGAGGACCACCATAGGATCATTCCTGTAAAATTTGTAGTTAATGTGCAGTCACTGGTTTCAGAGGAGATGAGGAGATGCCGGACAGCGGATGAATGGGTATCTTAATATCTTACTATGACATCCATCATTGATGTCCATTTTCTTCGATGCCTTACTTTTCTTTTCCGTACTGATGGCTAACAAGTTAGTATAACCTTTTTTTTTTAGAATAAAAAGAATGGACAACGTGATGAATGTTCACGTTTCTCAACGCACTTTCTTGTAATTAAATAACTTTACCACTTATTACATAAAAACTATAGTAAGCATTTTAAACAGATCGATACATTATGTATAATAACTGAAGGCTGAAAAAAAACGGATATAGATCACTTGACATCACTTTTCTTGGTATAGGACTGTAAACAAATACATGTAAGAGAATTTATGTAAGCGGTCGGGTGGCTCAGTGGGTAGAACTGCGGATCGGTATTTGGAGGATCGCGGTGACATATGGATATGCAAATAACTTAATATTTACGTATATTTCACTTATTTATCACACAAATATAAGTTTCAACATATTATTATATAATTTGGTGGTCTTATATTTCTTTACTCGATTGCAGTACCGAAACAGCTCCAACAATATATCTCGTAGTTGAGTGTTACAAGTATGTATTATTCTAGTTTAATAACGTAGATAAAGTCATCGTTTTCGCAACCAACAATTAATTGCCTGTTTTCGTTATCAAAACAGAGAGACCAAGGTATTCCTGTTACTGTTAACAAAACTCTGTTTTGCATATAGTTCGCACTTGATATTTGATGGATGTTTTTGGAACTTTTCCCACATACATAAATATTTCCTTCCTTGTCTACCGCAATGTCTGTTATGTCAGCTATTATGTTTCCTTTATAGCTCTTGAAATACCATTTCTCTTTCAAAACACTTGGATTGTCTTTATCTGTCTCAACGCAACGCAATTTCATATTTTCAGATACCAAGAAGGCATTTGTTGTACTTGTCATCATGCGAATTCTTCCTGGATCATCTAAAACCATTTTCAGCGATGTCTTATTTCTAAAATCTTTAAGGGTTTGTAATATTTTCCCAGCATTCATGCTACGTATTTGTATCTCAATTTGATCACGATCACTATTTTTTGGAGTGGCTTTTTCTTCATCAGAAAACAAAATAATGACACGACCATCATTACCAGTCATGCTTTCGATGCTGAGTGGATAAAGTTTGCAAGGAAATTCTCCATAGTTATACATAGCATCATCGCCAATCTGATATTTCTTTACATATTTAACGCCATCAACGAGTACGCCTAACCAATTTCCTGAATATTGACACACATCTATTGGTTTTCCGGTAAGTTCTTTCTGCAACCGTATAGACAAATCCTTATTCAAAACTGTAATTAGTTTGTTGGAATTGTCTGCCAAGACAATTGTCCCATCGGACAAAATAACCATGCTAGTAATAGAACATTTCTCTGTCGATTGGCTTGTTTGTATATCATACATGATTCTACGTTTACTGACCGAGCTTTGCATAAACGATTTACTCTGTAAATATTCTCCAACATTGACCGTTTTCTCCCCTAACTCGTCGCTAGAAAGCTCTATGACAGTTTCCTTGCCTGAAACTACTTTTTCCTGACAATCTTCGTCGTCTCGACCCTTTACGACACGAACAGATCCTAGCGAAGCTATTTCTTCAAAACTCTTATTCCGGTCAAACTTTAGACTTACAGCTGGTTTTGCTTCCTGTTTAGTAGTTTCATCTTTATATCCTTTTATATCTTTTTCTACTTTCTCGCAAATTAAGTTTACTTCAGTCGTGTTACCATAACTTAATCCGACATCAAGCAGTAGTTTTTGTTGTAATATTTTCTCCTCTACCTCCTTGCACTTGTAAATATCTTTTTCTATCTCTTTAAGTGTTTTTGTTACAATATCATCTGTCTCGGTCATATATTTTTCATCAAGTTTCATTAATTGTTCCTGTATAAGTTTTATATATTCTGACCTCTCTGCATGAATACAAGAACTGTTGATTCGGAGTTGTTTGATATTCTCCTCTTTAGCATTCCGGACCGAGACAATCATTTCATAAACTGATTGCAGCGTATTTGGCAGTGTTGTGTGGGTATCTGTCTCAGCAATGGTCTTATCTTGGGTTATCAGATTTGAAATCTCTATAACTTCCTCACATTTTCTATGACTAACAACCAAACATTTAGTACAAATGAATTTCTCGTGTGTTTTACATTTGTAGGAAACATCCATCTCGGGATGATCGGGACAGGATGCTAACGATTTCATCATCTTAAACAATGTTGGATCATCTGGTATGTCTGTCTCAATTATAACTTTGTGGTTTCTAGTAGCTTTACTTCTTCTATGATCTCGTGCACAGCTTTTGCAAAGATATTCAACGCAAACAACACAAAATGAGTTTGCAGTTTCTTTAACATCATCAAAAAGACAAGGATCACATAGTCGTTTCTTGTCTTTGTTTTTTTCAAGCGAGTCGCCACATGCATTTTCATTGTTTTTGTCATTACACGTAGTAACTTTATCTTCAACAGTAAACTCGAAAGTCGGTACATCGTCTGACTGACGTTTTACTTGCATATTTCCGTCTTGTTTTTCTCCGCTATCATCTGTGTTTGCCACGATTATTAAATCCGTATTTGTACTAGTATATCCACTGGATGAAAGTTTTTGTTCCCTTTTCGAGTCTTGTTTGTGTGACCCTATTTCTATGTTTTCGTTTTCCCCTTCATTCTTTTCGGTAGCCAATTTCACAGACATTTGATCAGTTAACTCCTGACATGTAGTCATGTCCGCCATATTAAGTTTAATACACAAAATTTGCGCTGTTTATCTGATTATAAAGCATGTGACAGAGATAACGAATGATAATTTTGCATATGACAACAGGACGATAATTCATGATAACACCATTTGAAAAACTGATACTCTTTAAGTTAGCTAATACAATATTTAGGTATTTCGATTAATCAATACTTGCGCTAGATTTACACTAAGGACAATTATTATGTTGTTGGTTTTAATTTTCTTTATTCGGCCAAAAGCCGTCTGATTTCACCTTTTCTTCCGCTAAAATTACAGTAAAGAAATGAATAAAGGCAAAATTTTCATCGGTCATTTTAATACTAATAGCCTATTCGATTGATACTTTAGAAAAAGCTTCCGTTATAGGTAGAGGTCTGTTTGATTGCGTGATGGCAAGAAAAGTTGTAAAAAGTCAGAATAAATATAAAAACGCATTAACGTTTACTTGTTCGATATTTTCTTGATGTTTCTAACAGCTTTTTAATAAATATATATAATTAAATAAGACAGATCGCCTTTTTGATACTTTTGCGTTCGATTGGGTTTCTCTTCTAAGCTGTTCTAGTCATTATATTCTCTTCTCGAACCGGGCATAAGACGATTGAAACGAACTTTTGACTAATTTACAGTTGCAAAAATATTCTCCGTGGAATTAGTGTACAGTCTCTACTAAATCTTTGTTTTATTATAAATTCCTATTCAAATCAAATTCCTTTTTGATTAAAATCAAATAATTAAAGTAATATTGTTTAAATCTAAGATGACAATCAATGGGGAAAAACATCGCGGGTAAAAATGAACTGAAATAAAACTATTGAGGACGAATGAAATGTTCTGTTAGCATGGTTAGTAGTAGCTTATCCTATGCAACTTAACAAGTTTGACTTCGGCCGAGTTTCTGTTAACCCATTACTTCATATACACGCCTTTTAACGCCTTTTCACCCCCCCCCTTTTTGTTGTCTCAAATTATGAAAAAATGCCTTATTTAGGCCCCAAACACTTGTTTTTGTTTGAGAAATGTTGTTAAAAAAGTGACCTCTTTTTCGGCGCGGCCCCCCAACCAAAAGATACATCAGGGGGTTGCCAGAAGGGGGATGTGCCCCCTTCTGTTTGGGGGGGGGGGTTGAAGGGGGGCGGAGTCCCCCTCATCGCCAAGAAAATTTTGGACTTGTGAGAGGCTGTAAATGACCCCAGATTGATCATAAGGTAACGTGTAACCAACGCTGAAAAGCATTTGACTCTATCTCAATCCATTGAGAAGTTGCAGCACTTTGAAATCAATTTTGATGGAAAAAATCAACGCAAAATAGTGATTTTTGGCAATTTTGAGATGTCCCCTCGTTGCCATGGTAACAGAAAATTTAAGCCTGAGCATGTTGTTGCAAGGGCAATGGTCCAGTCAACATTTGTGCCAAGTTTGATTAGTGTTGAAGCAGTTTTTATAGTATTATAGCAATTTGAACTTGTAACGGGAGACTTTTCAATGAAAACAGCCATTTTTCACAAAATGCTCATGAAGTAATGGGTTAATGAAAAAAATAAAAAAATCTACAAAACAACAATTTTTCTTCAAATTTATATGACAGACCATGTTTAAACATGAAAAAACGCGATTAAGGGTAATTTCAAGTATTTTCATCATTTTCTGTTAACCCATTACTTCATATACACGCCTTTTAACGCCTTTTTCACCCCCCCCTTTTTTGTGTCTCAAATTATGAAAAAATGCCTTATTTAGGCCCCCAAACACTTGTTTTTGTTTGAGAAATGTTGTTAAAAAAAGTGACCTCTTTTTCGGCGCGGCCCCCCCCAACCAAAAGATACATCAGGGGGTTGCCAGAAGGGGGATGTGCCCCCTTCTGTTTGGGGGTTTTGAAGGGGAGCGGAGTCCCCCTCATCGCCAAGAAAATTTTGGACTTGTGAGAGGCTGTAAATGACCCCAGATTGATCATAAGGTAACGTGTAACCAACGCTGAAAAGCATTTGACTCTATCTCAATCCATTGAGAAGTTGCAGCACTTTGAAATCAATTTTGATGGAAAAAATCAACGCAAAATAGTGATTTTTGGCAATTTTGAGATGTCCCCTCGTTGCCATGGTAACAGAAAATTTAAGCCTGAGCATGTTGTTGCAAGTGCAATGGTCCAGTCAACATTTGTGCCAAGTTTGATTAGTGTTGAAGCAGTTTTTATAGTATTATAGCAATTTGAACTTGTAACGGGAGACTTTTCAATGAAAACAGCCATTTTTCACAAAATGCTCATGAAGTAATGGGTTAATGAAAAAAATAAAAAAATCTACAAAACAACAATTTTTCTTCAAATTTATATGACAGACCATGTTTAAACATGAAAAAACGCGATTAAGGGTAATTTCAAGTATTTTCATCATTTTCTGTTAACCCATTACTTCATATACACGCCTTTTAACGCCTTTTTCACCCCCCCCCCTTTTTTGTTGTCTCAAATTATGAAAAAATGCCTTATTTAGGCCCCAAACACTTGTTTTTGTTTGAGAAATGTTGTTAAAAAATGTGACCTCTTTTTCGGCGCGGCCCCCCCAACCAAAAGATACATCAGGGGGTTGCCAGAAGGGGGATGTGCCCCCTTCTGTTTGGGGGGGTTTGAAGGGGAGCGGAGTCCCCCTCATCGCCAAGAAAATTTTGGACTTGTGAGAGGCTGTAAATGACCCCAGATTGATCATAAGGTAACGTGTAACCAACGCTGAAAAGCATTTGCCTCTATCTCAATCCATTGAGAAGTTGCAGCACTTTGAAATCAATTTTGATGGAAAAAATCAACGCAAAATAGTGATTTTTTGGCAATTTTGAGATGTCCCCTCGTTGCCATGGTAACAGAAAATATAAGCCTGAGCATGTTGTTGCAAGTGTAATGGTCCAGTCAACATTTGTGCCAAGTTTGATTAGTGTTGAAGCAGTTTTTATAGTATTATAGCAATTTGAACTTGTAACGGGAGACTTTTCAATGAAAACAGCCATTTTTCACAAAATGCTCATGAAGTAATGGGTTAATGAAAAAAATAAAAAAATCTACAAAACAACAATTTTTCTTCAAATTTATATGACAGACCATGTTTAAACATGAAAAAACGCGATTAAGGGTAATTTCAAGTATTTTCATCATTTTCTGTTAACCCATTACTTCATATACACGCCTTTTAACGCCTTTTTCACCCCCCCTTTTTTTGTTGTCTCAAATTATGAAAAAATGCCTTATTTAGGCCCCAAACACTTGTTTTTGTTTGAGAAATGTTGTTAAAAAAAGTGACCTCTTTTTCGGCGCGGCCCCCCAACCAAAAGATACATCAGGGGGTTGCCAGAAGGGGGATGTGCCCCCTTCTGTTTGGGGGGGGGGTATGAAGGGGGGCGGAGTCCCCCTCATCGCCAAGAAAATTTTGAACTTGTGAGAGGCTGTAAATGACCCCAGATTGATCATAAGGTAACGTGTAACCAACGCTGAAAAGCATTTGACTCTATCTCAATCCATTGAGAAGTTGCAGCACTTTGAAATCAATTTTGATGGAAAAAATCAACGCAAAATAGTGATTTTTGGCAATTTTGAGATGTCCCCTCGTTGCCATGGTAACAGAAAATTTAAGCCTGAGCATGTTGTTGCAATGGTCCAGTCAACATTTGTGCCAAGTTTGATTAGTGTTGAAGCAGTTTTTATAGTATTATAGCAATTTGAACTTGTAACGGGAGACTTTTCAATGAAAACAGCCATTTTTCACAAAATGCTCATGAAGTAATGGGTTAAAGATACTTCTTGTTTTTCTTTCTTTTTATATCAACACATACTGATTTATGTTTCCTAGCCAAGATTTCGACAGTACTAAAAAAATCTAAATTAATGAAGCTTGTAATCCGTAAAGTAAGGCCCATCTTAAAATCTGTATCATGTAGGATTGCAAAATATGTCTTACGTTAAAAACTTAAGACGTTCTGGTTTAGATTGTTTGCTGTGCTTGCAATCGTTATTGATATTTAATAAGTTTAAAAATAACAGTATCGTTTGTTGCTCTGTAAGATTCGAAACAATTAACTTATCAACATCTGATTCGTACAAAATCTATTCTTGCTTTAAACTAATTAAAAACATATTGTATGTGAGTATAAAACTATTAACAAAACACATGTTTCATGAAAATGACTTTATTATTAACAACAACTTGCTTGCATACATTATGAATACATGAATGTATAACATTAGTTAAAAAGTGTGATAATTATCATGATGTCTTCTATAAGGTCCGTGTTTCATCTATTTAATCGTAAAATAGTAATTATTATTTATTTAATTTCGTTCAGTACCGTTTCTATACACCTGGAAATAACCATGGTCATACTACATCAGCGCAGGTCATAGAACGCAACATATACTCTGATTCTTATAATACACCAAAATGTATGGAGCCATTACGGATCTTATCAAAAATGTCACCAGAACCTTATTTCAAATGCAAAGAACTTTATACTCCAATATGATATCATTTAAGCGTTGTATATTTGTATAATTCAACGCTCTGTTGTGGGCACTTTTATTTTTGAAAATGCCGATAAGCGTTCGAAAAACTGTATAAACATAAACATTTGTCAACAGTTTGGGAAATTTCCTTTCATAATCGTTTACTATGATAAAAGAAAGCCCTTACCTACGAGAAGAATGTAAGATTATCATAAAGTTGAAACAATCTTGAAAACTGTACAGGTCGTAGGCGGAATAGGCAAAATTGAAAAACCGCAAAATTTTAGGGCCGATTTCATGCTCAATAATAATTGGAATAAATGATATAAAATAATGTCAAAGATGGTTAATGCTTAAAACTTTAAGATGAGTATGAATTTTACTTTTTCCCCAAAAGGACTTCTTATTATATGAGGACACATTCACATAATGAGTTCATTATCGACTTTGTATATGTATTGTGTGTAGTGCGTAAACATTCAAATCTTTTAGTGTTTTAGGTCATGTCACGACGTACAAATCATTATTATGGTTCCTTTAATTGTTGTTTTCTATTGTGTTTATTTTAAAGAGGATACCTTACGCATTAATATTAAGTACGGACGTATAATCAGTATCATTAAACTAGCCGGAATTTGTTTTATAAATCTGATAACTTGCTGTCGTCATTACATTCTACCTATGTAAGGTGATTCAAAGTGTATCGTTTGGTAAATTATTATTGATATAATGTCGTCCGACACTGTTTCAATTCACCTAAAATAGCCATAGTAACGTCACTGCTGCGCATTTCATTGAACTCATAAGCATTGACCTGGTTTCGTAAAATGGCAAATATTTTGAAAATATTCTAAAGTATGTTTTTGACGTCAACTCATTTTCATTTGACTGCCAATTTTCATGATTATACTATGATAAGACTTGCAAACATGTGATTTTTATTTATTAAAGAAAAATTGATATTTACAATATTATAGCTTATCAGCTTATTGGATATAGCATATACAGTCATTACAGCCTATTTTAAGAATTGAACAAATAAAGCAAATTGATTGTACAGACTTGTGTATGTTTGTAATGTGAGTATGATGGAAAATCATTTATCTTGATTTTGAAATCTAACTGATTTAAACTGTCAACATGATGATTTATTTTAATTGATGTAATAAAGTTTCTTCACGTGATAGAAATACAATCTTGCACTATCTAAATACTAATATCTTCTTCAATCAATCGCAGTTTATTATAAGCTATTAAGAGTTGTACATGTATTTGCTATTTTTCTTGCCTTGTCTTTTGCGATATTACCGTCGATTATTTATGTCCAGGAACCTCACAAATATCTGCTTGGCTTACGCACGTTGAACCTTTTGTGTCTTCCACAGCATTACTGCTGAAATTCAAGTTAACTTCAACACCATGTACGACTGGAGTTTGTAGACCACTCTCGCGAATCATTTCTATCTTTCCAAGGGAAGACATTTGTTTTAATGCCAGAAAGGTTTCACTTGGTTTAAAATTCAGATTGCTTGCCTTTTTGTTGCTAAGCACATTAATGTTTTCTTTTAACTGTTTTGTTTTCTTTCTCACAGCATCGTTAACAACTTCTGTCCAAACAGAATTGCCCGTTTGCAAAACCTTTTTAATAAATTCTTCGTTCAAATTTAATTCTTTTTCATGTGCTTTGCATTCATCAATGTCACTTTCTAACACATCTTTTTCTTTTGAAACAAGATTTTCAATTTCATTTTCTAAATCCTTATTTAGGCTGTCAAACGTATTTATAATAAGATCTCTTTCTTGCTTTAGTGCGGTTTGTTTATCGAGGAGCATTTTAATGATTTCTTCTTTGCATTCTCTCGCACACACTGTTGCCGCATGAACTTCTTTTAATTCATCCGTCACGTTATTTACAGATCCATCTGAAATTTCACTCCCTAACTCTCTAACATCGCAATTTATATGATTTGAAAAATGACACTTTCGACACACGAACTTCACGTGATCTTTACATTCTATTAAAACTTCTTCCTCTGGGTGTTCTGAACAAGAAACCATCGATTTTATTGACTTTAAAACAACTAAATCATTATTAGTACCCTCTTGTATAATATGGTTTCGCGAAGCTTTATTTTTACGATGATCGCGAACACAGTCAGAGCACAAAGATTCAGCACAATTCATACAGAAAGCCCCAGCTTCTTTTTCAACTCCATCAACTTTGCACGTCATACACATGCTACAGTCATTGTCTGCTTCTTTGCTACTGCTTCCTCCCATTCTTCAACAATCTGTAAAAAACATTATTGTTATATATATCATAATATTGTTCGTTTGTAATTGAGGCCTAATAACAATCAACTAAAGCTTCATTAATTATTGATATCTTAATAGTTTTTATATTTTTGATTTCTTTATATTGATTGCACTTAAAAGAACATGTTACTTGAATATTATTATGTATATGATGATGTACAAATAAGAAATAAAAGCTCTCTTCTGGTCTGTAACGTCGCTTTTCATTGGATTATCGTCACGTTCATATTATTAGTTATAAAAATTATTGACAGGTTATATGACCATATATAAACTGTTGTTTGCGATATGACCTGTTAATAATCTTTATAACTAATAATATACAAGGCGGCTTCATTTTTTAAAAGAAAAATCTCTTTTTTTCTCTGCTGTATTATAAATTCGTTATAAATTTTCATTTCAATGTAAACGTTTGTTTGCAATATAACATTTCCCTAGCGTTTCGGGTTATATATACAAACAACCATTTATAAAGGGCCAAATAACCTTTCAAACATCTTCTTAACTAATAATCAACACGTACTTTGCGTGTTTTCATAACTGATAATTATTTCAATGTCAAGTACATCCGGTATTCCGACACCTATTATGAATAAATAATTTGAGCATGATTTTATAAAATTAACACAAATTGAAATACACGTACATATGCATATATCCTTACGACACTCACAAGCTAGTACACAAATATTCACTTTCAAGATAACGTGGTTTTAGTCTGACTTGTTTGCTTAAGATACACTCCTTTCTGCTCTAAAAAGTCATAAGAGATAAAAAAGTTGAAATTTATCATATCTCTTTTTTTCCGAAATTCAGAAATTTTCTCCATTTAAAACCTCACTTTAGTGTCCTCTTTTTTACTTGCATTATTCAGTTCTACTATTTTAAAGTTTTGAATAGCCTGATATCCAATTGAAATAACGGAGATTGATTATTACAGAGAATGAGATACTTATATGTATAGAGAATTATTCAAAAATGAAAACAAGACCTTTTTGAGAATGTGTGTGATGTGATTACTAAAAGACAACGGTTTGTTAATACAATTTTGAAGACACATTGAACAAGAAATGTAGATTATGGATTTTCAATATCTCTGTAGTTAATTTTGAGAATTGAGTAGAAATGGTATAAGCATGCGAGTTCATTAAGAGTTTTGTTTTTAAGAAATTAAACACTATAAATATATAAACATAATTCTAAAGCAAGGGAGGGAAATCAGGGAGATGAGAACACTTGAATAGTTTCAATGTAATGAGTTACTTCTCTTTCATATGAAGTATACGGAAAATAGTAAAATCAATATAATTGTTCCCAGCATTATAAAACAGTTTTCATAATTCATAAATTCACTCAAGCAGCATGCATTCTGACTCATGCAAATTTCGAAAATGTATTTAAAAGTAAAATATAGTGAAGTGAACACAGATATTTATTTACACATTTCCTAACAGTCGACAAGGGGTCAAATTATCCAGAAATAGCCCAAGGCATACTGCGTTAGTAACGCGCTAGAAATATGGCGATGAGTACTGAAAAATCAGTCATTAATTGCACACACCATGTTGATTATTACTTGAATGTTGAATCTTTTAACATCGATTTTTAAAACATTAATACTTTTTTTAAAAGTTCAATATTCTTGAAACATTTTGGCTGATCGTGATGCCGCTTTAAGTAGAGATACTGTCATATTTTTATGTACTTGCAATATGTTGAATGGCACAAAAATATATCAGATCAGATCAAAATATATCACGAAATTATTGTATAGCTTACTTTGGGCTTGCGGTAATTGAACGGCAGACATGCAACAAAGAAAAACATAGCTAAAACAGACTTGTGTAACGTGGTTTACTTCTTTTTCACATGATATATCATCACCTTTTATCTACAGAATTTACATTATTTGAGCCGCGTCACGACAAAACCAACATAGTGCGTTTGCGACCAGCATGGATCCAGACCAGCCTGCGCATCCGCGCAGTCTGATCAGGATCCATGCTGTTCGCTATTAGTTTCTCTACTTGTAATAGGGTTTGAAAGCGAACAGCATGGATCCTGATCAGACTGCGTGGATGAGCAGGCTTGTCTTGATCCATGCTGGTCGCAAACGCACTATGTTGGTTTTGTCGTGACGCGGCTCATTTTGATGCCTGTCAATCGCCGTTTGTTTTCAGCCGAGAATTACCTGTGCATATGTAAACAGGGCACAGTAGATTTCGCAGAGGGTACCGATCAAAGAGGGTACCGATATGAATACGCACCGGTAAGGCTATGATTTGCACAATCGGAACACCTCAACAATTATTTATTATAATCTCGGCGCTACCACGGGTTGAAATTTGTACTACCATGTAGATCTATCTTCATATAAACAAAAACAGAAGGTGTAATATTCTTGAAAAATCTGTCTTCAAAATCAATTAAAGTACGTCCACTGTTAACAAAATATAACCAAATCCAAAATGTCGTCAACAGGCATACAGTTTCTAAAAAATCTAATAGTATATAAATAATGTACTTTTTACTTGTATATATATCAAGTTACCTACCGGCTCTTTTGTTAAAAGCGGTCTAGTAAATCACTTACCGACCGCTTAACAGGTCTGCAAATTTATACCGACCTGTTTTTTTCTATTGTTATCTATACTATAGAAAATATGTGAAGTCGAGAATCTCGTGCATTACACAATGTTCACCGTAAACGCAGAAATTTTGAAAAAATTAAGCTGAATTGTGCAAATTTATATGGGTAATGACTACTTCGAATAGGAAAAAGGGTCGATATATATTTTAAAGTACATTTCATCAAATTAATTGAAATAAATTAGCGCATACGGCTGTAAGGACCCTCATAACATATATTCAAGATTATTTCGCACAATCCTGCATTATTTTAACAATTTGCATTATGGGATATATACGACGATTATATTATTGAAGCATATCGAATCAAAGTCAACTTCTGCATCTTTCTTTCCCAAACTATTACTTTCAGTGAAAGTATAGTTCATCTTAAGTATAAGACTTGTTTTTCTCATTTTTTCCCAGTTTTTTTTTACATTACAATTTGGATTTTGTAACCAGTTCTAGACCGCGTGCTTACATGCGTCTTATAAAACATATGAATAACGGATGATGCTAATTAAGAATACAACGAAAAAAAAAATCCAAACATGAATGAAATTCTAAGAATCAGCTATCATAAAAAAAACAACGACAACAACAAACCCAAATAATATGACGGTAAATCTACATGTATTACTAATATTTATTCATAAAACCATGTCTTTTACTTTCCTTTGAAAAAATCGTATATTTTAATTATATTAGAAATAGCCTGATCATCTATTTACCATGAAATTTATTATATATAAAGATAAAGTGTTCCGTTTTATGAGTAGAAAACTTTTTTTTATCTTCCTCAATATTTGTATATATTATTAATATGTTATGTATTCATATATCAAAATAATGATCTTACCTTTGCCTACTCGACAAGTTCTGTCAACTCAACAAGTACATTACCTGACCTTATTACATAATGAAACCCCACGAAAAACACGAGAATATTCAAATTACACCTGATTTGTTAACGAATGAATTACAAGAGCGTAGCGGATGGTTTTTTTGCATGGCTTTGGAATGCTTTCTTAAACATGATTAAGTACATAAATAATATGTTTCTTGTGAGTAATGTTAATAAATACTGAGTTAAAAACTGATGTATAGATAGAAAAACAAAAGAGCATGTAGGTAAGATAGTTACCGCACTCGGAATAGGTCTGCATAGTATTTACCTACCGGCTCCTTTGTTAAAAGCGGTCTAGTAAATCACTTACCGACCGGTTAACAGGTCTGCAAATAGATACCGACCGGTCATTGTTCTATTGTTCTCTATACAATAGAAAATATGTGAAGTCGAGAAACTCGTGCATTACAGTACACAATATTTACCGTAAAATAACGCCGAATTGTGGGGGAGGGGGAGATAATGATGACCACTTTGAATAGGGAAAAGGGTCAATATATACTTTTAAGATTAATCGAAATAAATTAGCGCTTACGGCTGTAAGTACTCTCATAACTTATATTCCAGATTATTTGTGAGAAAAACGAACTGGCTACTGTTCTGGCGTTGAAGTTTTGTGTTTCGCCGATATTAATGAGTATAACAACGCACAATAAGCCTTTCTTTAAAGTTTGCTTTTCGGTATACCTAACACATTTGCTGAACTACATAGCTTCATAAGATACTAGTTTTCGGTATTTATTTCCACAACTATGTCTGAATTTGCACAATCCTGCATTATTTTAACAATTCTGCATTATAGGATAAATACGACGATTATATTATTGGTGCATATCGAATCAAAGTCAACTTCTGCATCTTTCTTTCCCAAAATATTACTTTCAGTGAGAGTATAGTTCATCTTTAGTATAAGACCGTTTTTCTCATTTTTTCCCAGTTATTTTTACATTACAATTTGGATGTTGTATACCAGTACCAAGACAAGAATACGACTTGCGCTTCCATTCTAGATCGCGTGCTTACATGCGGTCTTATAACGGATAATGCTAATTAAGAAAATTCTTCCTAACATGCATGGATGAAATTCTAAGAACATTTAAAATCAGCCATCATAAAAAACAACAACAACAAAACCCAACTTACATAACGGTGTAACTATATGTATTACTAATATTTATTCATAGAACCCCGTCTTTTACTTTCCTTTGAAAAAATCGTATACATTTGTATTTTTATTATATAAGAAATAGCCAGATCATCTATTTACCATGAAAATTATTATATATAAAGATAAAGTGTTCCGTTTTTTGTTTTTATGATTAGAAAACATTTTTATCTTCCTCAGTATTTGTTTATATCATTTATATGTTATGTATTCATATATCAAAATAATGATCTTACCTTTCCCTACTCGACAAGTTCTGTTTTCATTTTCTGTGACTCAACTCAACAAGTACATTACCTGACCTTATTACATAATGAAACCCCACGATAATCACGAAAATATTCAAATAACACCTGATTTTTGTGAACGAATGAATTACAAGAGCGTAGCGGATGGTATCTTTGCTTGGCTTTGGAATGCTTTTTTAAACATGATAAAGTACATAAGTAATATGTTTCTTGTGAGTAATATTAATAAATACTGAGCTAAAAAATGATGTATGGATAGAAAAACAAAAGAGCATGTAGGTAAGATAGTTACCGCACTCGGAATAGGTCTGCATAGTATTTACAGACCCGGTAGCCTTTAAAAACCTCGATCGCTACGCTCTCTCGGTCTTCAAATCGCCACCCGGGTCTGTAAATACTATGCAGACCTATTCCTCGTACGGTAACTATTACTTACAGACCCGGTGGCATTTTAAAAACCTCGATCCCTACGCTCTCTCGGTCTTCAAATCGCCACCCGGGTCTGTAAATACTATGCAGACCTATTCCTCGTACGGTAACTATTACTTATTGCATTCAAGTTAACTTAGTTAACCTGTACACAATATAACAAATACCATACTATTTGTTTACATGCCTAGGTTAGACACATTTTCATGTCCGAGGTAATTCTCCGAAGATTGGCGGCTAGAGCCGAAGAACTTTGCAAGTGAGATTTTCATGGTATATTATAACGCATGTGTAACGCATGTGTATGTACATGGGATTTCCTCAATATAAATTTTGTACTCTTTAGAGATACTGATAATTGCGCAGACACGGGTCCTGGATTTTAACCAGTGGCGTTTGCACATTTTCTGATTTTACTTGTTTTCCAGATGTCGTGAGTTTAATTTTTGTTGATTTTCTCTAGTATGTGCGTAATTTCAGTAGAAATTAATAAAACGTAAGCATATATGCAAATCATACAAGCAAAGTCCTGGGGGTATCATGATCACCTGCCTCACCTTATGCCTACTGGTTCCGCGCAAAATTGAACAGCAGGTATCAATATTAAATAAATAGATACATGAATACAATAGATGCATGTTCAGAGTAAATCATAGTTATGACAGGTTTCAAATTATTAAAATATAGAAACTAAAATAGAAAAACGCAGTTCATCAGTATTTTTAATCACACTGAGTCCAAATGTAGACAGATTAATATGTTTAAAATGAAATAACTATTTTCTTCTTGAATTATACTTTGAGAATATATTATTAAGTAGTGCTACGGGATCTTGTCAAAAATGTCACCAGAACCTAATTTCAAACTCAAAGAACTTTATACTCCAATTTGACATCATTCAAGCGTTGGATATATCATTTCCCCCTTTTCCCTTGCAAAAGGACTTCTCATGATACGAGGAAACATTCACATAATGAGTCAATCGGTATCGACTTTGTACATGTATTGTGTGTAGCGTTAAACATTCAAAACTTTGAGTTTGTTTACACCAACGCTAATGACGTTTTCACAACGTACAACTCATTATTATGGTTCCTTTTATACTGCTTCCTTAGATACATGTATGCATGTGCTAGTAATTTGTTTAATTGTTATATATTTTGTTTATTTGTAAAGCGGATACCTTACTCATTAAGACTAAGTTTATATTACGGACGTATAATAACCCGGAATTTGTTTTATAAGTCTGATAATTCCTATGCTGTCGTCACTATATTCATACCTGTGTAAGGTGATTCAAAGAGTGTCGTTTGGTAAAATATTATTTATTTATTGTCGCCTAAGACAATTTCAGTTCACCTACAATAATCAAAGTAACGTCATTGCTGCGCATTTCATAAGACTCATAGGCATTGACCTTGTTTCGGTAAAATGGCAAATATTTTGAAAATATTTTTTTTGACTTCAACTCTACAGCTGGGCCATTTCCATTTGACTGCCATTTCGTGATTATACTATGATAAGACTTGCAAACATATGATTATTATTTATCAAACGAAAATTGATATTTACAAAATTATAGCTTATCAGCTAATTGAATATAGCATATGATCATACATTATGATTTGAATACTTTCATTTCAGTCATTACAGTCTATCTTAATATCTGAACAAATAAAGCAAAGTGATTGAAACTATGTTTAGGACAGACTTGTGTATGTTTGTAATGTGAGTATGATGGAAAATCATTTATCTTAATTTTGAAAATATTACTGATTTAAACTGTCAGCATGATGATTTATTTTAATTGATGTAATAAAGTTTCTTCATATGACAGAAATACAATCTTGCACTATCTGAACACCGATATGTTCTTCAATCAATCGCAGTTTATTATAAGCTATTAAGCGTTGTACATTTATTTGCTATTTTTCTTGCCTTGTCTTTTGCGATATGACCGTCGATTTTTATGTCCAGGAACTTCACAAATATCTGTTTGGCTTACGCACGTTGAACCTTTTGTGTCTTCCACAGCATCACTGCTGAAATTCAAGTTAACTTCAACATCATGTACGACTGGAGTTTGTAGACCACTCTCGCGAATCATTTCTATCTTTCCAAGAGAAGACATTTGTTTCAATGCCAGAAAGGTTTCACTTGGTTTAAAATTCAGATTGCTGGCCTTTTTATTGCTTAGCACATTTATGTTTTCTTTTAACTGTTTTGTTTTCTTTCTCACAGCATCGTTAACAACTTCAGTCCAAACAGAATTGCCCGTTTGCAAAACCTTTTGAATAAATTCTTTGTTCAAATTTAATTCTTTTTCATGGGCTTTGCATTCATCAATGTCACTTTCTAACACATCTTTTTCTTTTAAAACAAGATTTTCAATTTCATTTTCTAAATCCTTATTTAGGCTGTCAAACGTATTTATAATAAGATCTCTTTCTTGCTTTAGTGCGTTTTGTTTATCGAGGAGCATTTTAATTTTTTCTTCTTTGCATTCTCTCGCACACACTGTTGCCGCATGAACTTCTTTTAATTCATCCGTCACGTTATTTACAGATCCATCTGAAATTTCACTCCCTAACTCTCTAACATTGCAATTTATATGATTAGCAAAATGACACTTTCGACACATGAACTTCACGTGATCTTTACATTCTATTAAAACTTCTTCCTCTGGGTGTTCTGAACAAGAAACCATCGATTTTATAGACTTTAAAACAACTAAATCATTATAAGTACCCTCTTGTATAATATGGTTTCGCGAAGCTTTATTTTTACGATGATCACGAACACAGTCTGTGCACAAAGATTCAGCACAATTCATACAGAAAGCCCCAGCTTCTTTTTCAACTCCATCAACTTTGCACGTCATACACCTGCTACTGTCATTGTCTGCTTCTTTGCTACTGCTTCCTCCCATTGTTCAATAGTCTGTAAAAAATATTATTGTTTTATATATCATAATATTGTACGTTTGTAATTGAGGCTTAATAACAATCAACTAAAGCTTCATTAATAATTGATATCTTTATAGTTGTTATATAATTGATTTCTTTATATTGATTGCACTTAAAAGAACATGTTACTTGAATATTATTATGTATATGATGATGTACTATGTACATATAAGAAATAAAAGCTCTATTCTGTTCTGCAACGTCGCTTTTCATTTGATAATCGTCACGTTTATATTATTAGTTATAAAAATTATTGACAGGTTATAAGGCTATTTATCACATAAACCGCGGCGCAGGAGTGTAATAAATCCATTCAATAAAAACGATATTACACTAGTGTAATAACACTTTGACGTGACGTCATTTGCGCAGCGTCAAAGTGCGCTACTGTAAGCGTTACACTATAGACGCGTCATTGAAAAAAATACTCATTTTAACAGTGTACTGTTCTTCTTTTAAATATGTGATTAAAAGAATATTATATTCGTGTAGATTCAATACTAAATTTATTGAACTCGTTGAATAAAACAATATTATGCTCGCCAGAGGCTCGCATAATATAATTTTATTCAACTCGTTCAATAAATTTAGCATGAAACTACACTCATTCAATATCCCCTATATATAAACGATTGTTTGCGATATGATCTGTCAATAATCTTTATAACTAATAATATACACGGCGGCTGTCAGTCTCTTTTTTTTCTCTGCTGTATTATAAATTCGTTATAAATTTTCATGACAGAATGATTGGTCAATGTAAACGTTTGTTTGCACTATAACCTTTTCCTAGCGTTTCGGGTTATATATACAAACAACCATTTATAAAGGGCCAAATAACCTGTCAAAAATCTTCTTAACTAATAATCAACACGTACAGTCGAGACTGCCTTAACGACCCCCTGAATTAGACGACTCCCTGTCATATGCGACGCTATTTTTTGCCCCCGACGCAATTTACTATTAATTTAGACTGAATTAAGCGACTCCCTGTCTTACGCGACAAACGACTATGAAATCCGGGTCCCGATCCGCTTTTCAGACTGTTTTTACCGACTTTGAGACGCTCCCCAGAAAATTTATACACGAAAGAGTTATCGTTCGTTATCTCGCGCGATGTTATTTGTGACGAGATTCAATTTGTTTACAAAACATGGCGGCTGAAAAAAGCAAAAAAAGAATCGTTTTAACACTTGAACAGCGTGTTAAGGCCCTAGAAATGCTGGATCGGGGTAAACCAGTGTACAAAATTGCAAGGACTTCGGTGTTGGCAAAACGCAAATTCAAAATTTACGCAAAAGGAAGTTGGAAGTTTTATCTGACTTTGAAAACAATGTTCCCAGTGAAACAAAGAGACGTCAATATCTCACAGGAAATGTGGAAGTTAACACATTAACTTATGAATGGTTTAAAGATGTTGTTAATAGGAGAGTAAACATCACAGGGCCATTAATACAGGAGCAGGCCCTCAATTTTGCAGCAAAACAAGGAAATACGTCATTCAAGGCCTCGAAAGAGAGTTTCATTAAGAGACATAGTATTTCATTTGGGTCTATGAGTGGTGAGAGGGGCGATGTAAAGCAGTCAACAATTTCTGAATGGACAGAAAAATTACCTACATTATGTGCAAACTATAAACCAGAAAATATTTTCAATATGGATGAAACGGGTTTATTTTTTCGTGACAGTGGACGTAAGACTTATCGATTAAAAGGTGATGATTGCGCTGGAGGGAAAAGATCAAAGGAGCGAATAACAGTGGCTTTGTGCTCTAGTTTGACCGGCGAGAAGATTAAGCCTCTTGTTATTGGTAAATCTCGTAACCCGAGGTGTTTTGGTAGAATGGACGTGAAAAGTTTGCCAGTTGATTATTTTTTTAATAAAAAAGCGTGGATGAACAGTTACATTTATGAAGAATTCCTGAAGTCACTAAACAGAAAAATGAAAAGTCAAAACAGAAACATTTTACTAATTGTCGACAACGCACCTTCACACCCCAAGGTCAACTCGAGTAATATCAAAGTACAGTTTTTGCCGGCCAATACAACGTCTGTCACACAACCAATGGATCAGGGGATAATCCAGACAGTAAAACTCAAGTTCAGAAAACGTCAGGTAGGTTGTTTTTTCCGACATGAAAAATCACACACACATTATTTGAAGGCTAGGAAATCAATTTTAATTCTGCATGTAATAATTTCCTTTTTTGATTTGCAATAGAAATCTGCTTTTAATGTATAATGCTAGTGTTGATGTCAGGTGGATAATTACTTTTGTCTTATTGTCAAATTTAATCTGCTTTTCTGTAAGGCAGCATACTTTTAAGGTATCAACATGCGTTTTAACACATTTTTCTTTGTACATTTCAGTTACAACATATGATACGCGGTATGGAGCAACATCCAGCTATGCAGGGCAGTGAGCTTCTTAAACAAATAACAATCTTAGATGCAATTTACTTGCTCAGCAATTCATGGTCAGAAGTCGAGGGAAGCACAATTGTAAAATGTTTTTTAAAAGCTGGATTCAGTTTTGATTGTGATTATACAAATAGTTCGGGCAGTGCTCTTTCTGTTACTGGTGTTGATGCCAATGACGATGAGGATGATGATGATGATGTCCCGTTAGCAGTAATGCAAATGTCACACGAGCTTTTTGGGTGCGATTATGAAGACCTCATCAGAATTGATGAAGAATTGTTAACATGCGAAATACAAAATTCAAACTGGGATGCACCAATTGAAACTTTACTTTCACAATTTATGCCAGAAAATTGTGCTTTCTCTGCCGGCATTGATGGTGATGATGATGACAGTGATGACAATGATAATGATTCATCAGTAAATGTACCGACTTACTCTGAGGCTTGTGACTATTTTAATAAACTTAAAACCTTTGCGGTCAGTTTAGGAAATCAGACACTGGTTGATAACATTGTCAAATTTGATGATGAGCTGTGCAACGAGATCTTGAACAAACCGAAACAAACACAGATTACTGATTTCTTTGAAAAGAGAACAGTGTAATTTAATATTTTAAGTCACCATGAGATATGCATTTAGTATGAATTTTAATTAGTGTTACCAAGAGACAATAATTTTAATATGAATTTTAAGACAATGCATTTAATATAATTTTTATTAGTGTATAGATAGCTGAACTTTATCCAGTGATACATTTTATTTTTTTAACTCCCTTTAACTGTCCTTTTTAATGATCTTAAAGTAAACAGGTAACATTTTAATGTTTTCAATGGTTTTATTGTTTTATCAAATAACACTGTACTGTATTTTTAATGTTTTATCTTTTTAAATGCAATAAAAGAAATAGTTTATAGCCAATTATCACTCTTATCTTAATGCCATGTATGTATTTCAATGAAATAAGTCAATACTTAGCTATACATGTACATATCCATGTACATTTTTAAACCAATGTTGGCAAATTTGGCAAGACTGTTTTAAGAGACTCCCTGTCATATGTGACCTTTTTTCTTGTTTCCCAAAGTAGGTCTCTTAAAACAGTCTAGACTGTACTTTGGGTGTTTTCATAACAGATAATTATTTCAATGTCAAGTACATCCGGTATTCCGACACCTTTAATGAATAAATAATTTGAGAATGATTTTATAAAATTAACACAAACTGAAATACACGTACATATGCATATATCCTTACGACACTCACAAGCTAGTACACAAATATTCACTTTCAAGATAACATGGTTTTAGTCTGACTTGTTTGCTTAAGATACACTCCTTTATGCTCTAAAATGTCATAGGAGATAAAAAAGTTGAAATTTATCATATCTCTTTTTTCCGAAATTCAGAAATTTTCTCCATTTACAACCTCACTTTAGTGTCCTCTTATTTATTTGCATTATTCAGTTCTACTATTTTAAAGTTTTGAATAGCCTGATATCCAATTGAAATAACGGAGTTGATTATTACAGAGAATGAGATACTTATATGTATAGAGAAATATTCAAAAATGAAAATAATACCTATTTGAGAATGTGTGTGATGTGATTACTAAAAGACAACGGTTTGTTAATACAATTTTGAAGACACATTGAACAAGAAATGTAGATTATGGATTTTCAATATCTCTGTAGTTAATTTTGAGAATTGTGTAGAAATGGTATAAGCATGCGAGTTTATTGAAAGTTTTGTTTTTAAGAAATTAAACACTTTAAATATATAAACATAATTTTAAAATAAGTGAGGGAAATCAGGTGAAAGTTTGAATAGTTTCAGTGTAATGAGTTACTGCCCTTTCATATGAAATATACGGAAAATGGTAAAATCAATGACATTTAATTGTTCCCAGCATTATAAAACAGTTTTCATAATTCATAAATTCACTTAAGCAGCATGCATTCTGATTCATGCAAATTTCGAAAACGTATTTAAAAGTAAAATATGGTGAAGTGAACACAGATATTTATTTACACATTCCTTAACAGTCGACAAGGGTCAAATTATCCAGAAATAGCCCAAGGCATACTGCGTTAGTAACGCGCTAGACATATGGCGATGAGTACTGAAAAATCAGTCATTAATTGCACACACCATGTTGATTATTACTTGACTGTTGAATCTTTTTACATCGATTCTTAAAACATTAATACTTTTTTAAAAGTTTAATATTCTTGAAACATTTTGGCTGATCGTGATGCCGCTTTAAGTAGAGATACTGTCATATTTTTATGTACTTGCAATATGTTGAATGGCACAAAAATATATCAGATCAGATCAAAATATATCATGAAATTATTGTATAGCTTACTTTGGGCTTGCGGTAATTGAACGGAAGACATGCAACAAAGAAATACATAGCTAAAACAGACTTGTGTAACGTGGTATACTTCTTTTTCACATGATATATCATCACCTTTTATCTACAGAATGAACATTATTTGAGCCGCGTCACGTCAAAACCAACATAGTGCGTTTGCGACCAGCATGGATCCAGACCAGCCTGCGCATCCGCGCAGTCTGATCAGGATCCATGCTGTTCGCTATTAGTTTCTCTACTTGTAATAGGGTTTGAAAGCGAACAGCATGGATCCTGATCAGACAGATAAAGATAAAGTGTTCCGTTTTATGAGTAGAAAACTTTTTTTATCTTCCTCAATATTTGTATATATTATTAATATGTTATGTATTCATATATCAAAATAATGATCTTACCTTTGCCTACTCGACAAGTTCTGTCAACTCAACAAGTATATTACCTGACCTTATTACATAATGAAACCCCACGAAAAACACGAGAATATTCAAATTACACGAATGAATTACAAGAGCGTAGCATGGCTTTGAAATGCTTTCTTAAACATGATAAAGTACATAAATAATATGTTTCTTGTGAGTAATATTAATAAATACTGAGTTAAGAACTGATGTATAGATAGAAAAACAAAAGAGCTTGTAGGTCAGTTAGTTACCGCACTCGGAATAGGTCTGTATAGTATTTACAGACCCGGTGGCCTTTTAAAAACCTCGATCGCTACGCTCTCTCGGTCTTCAAATCGCCATCCGGGTCTGTAAATACTATGCAGATCTATTCCTCGTACGGTAACTACTTACCTACCGGCTCCTTTGTTAAACGCGGTCTAGTAAATCGTTTACCGACCGCTTAACAGGTCTGCAAATAGATACCGACCTCTTATTGTTCTATTGTTCTATATATCCAAAAGAAAATATGTGAAACTCGTGCATTTAAGATTAAGCATTACATAATAATCCCCGTATACGTATATCCAATGACACTGAAATGTTGAAATAATGCAGGAATTATGCAAAAAATAACTCTGAATTGTGCAAATAAGGGTGGGGGAATAGGACCGATATATAAAAATTAAAGTACATGTTCATCAAATTAAAAGAAATGAATCAGCGCATACGGCTGGTAGGACATCATATTCTAGCTCTCATATGATAGTTTTTGCTTTAAGAAAACCGACCTGACTACCGTTCTTGTAAAGTTTGTGTTTTGCTGATATAACGTGCATAAAGACATTCTTTATAGTTTGCTTTTCGGTATAAACACATTTTACCGAACTATTTAGCTTCATATAATACTAGTTTTCGGCATTTATTTCCACAATTCTGTCAGATTTTGTTGCACAATCCTGCGTTATTTTAACAATTCTGCATTATGGGATATAAACGATCTTATCAAACATATGAAGAAGGGGGAATGATTCTTATAGAGAATACACCGAAAGAAAAATCTTCCGAACATGAAGAAATACTAAGCATATTTAAAATCCGCCATCTATAAAACGCCTACATGAAAACAATAATAATAACATAAAAAACCTAAACAAACAAACTTACAAGACAGTTTAACTACATGTATTATTAGTATTTATTTATATTCACAAAAGCCTGTCACTTACTTTCCTTTGAACATAATCGTAAATTTTATATCTAAAATAGGCGGATCATATATTTACCATGAAATTCATTATATATCAAGATTAAGTATTCAATGTCAATATATTTTGTATATTATTATTATTATATTATATATACATATTATAAAATAATAATCTTACCTTTACCCTCTTTATATCAATTTGATATATTACGTAGTTTCATTTTGTAATCACAGTGATATAAATTGCATGTGAATTACTCTTGTGGTTTTAAAGATATTTGGTATTTAAAACTTCTTGATGCTTCTATAGATTTTTTTAAAGCATACAGCAATAATGTGTTTTAGTGAGCGAAACTCGACGAGGATTATATATACACGGTCAGACCTGTATAATATCGGGCAATTACCAAGTTCACAAAAAGGACTTAATCCTATTATTATCAACACTTTGAAAGGACTTAAGTTAATGCAATACAAAGGGAACAGAGGTGGGCAATATGGGATTAGACGAGCCTGGGATACTAACAATGGTGTGAATGTTGACAATTTACAGTTACTTCCCCAAGAAATAACAAAAGTTAATCAGAGAAGACGTATAGAAAAATCACTGAGCATGTGCAATGTGAAAAAAACTTAATCCGGGTAAATCTTGAACACAATACAACAGTAAAAGGCCAAACAAACATAAAAATATGTTTAATGAACGCACGCTCAGTGAAAAACAAAACCCTATACATATGTGACTTTATTCTCTGCAATGAGTTTGATATATGTGCCATAACTGAAACATGGCTAGGTAGTTCTGTTGATAAGGTGTGTATCAGTGAACTTGTACCTCCTGGCTACAAAATGAAACATGTCCCGCGTGTTGGTAGGCGAGGTGGGGGTGTAGCTATCATCCATAAAGCTTCTATACAAGTCACCACTGAGTCGTCAAGTCAAAGCAAGGAATTCTCACAATTTGAGTTCATGGACTGTAATGTAGTTATTGGGCGGTACTCTATGAGGCTAGCGGTAATATACAGACCATTTCCTTCTAAACAGAACGGCTTGAATACAAACACTTTCCTTGATCATAATGTGGCCCCTTTTCTTATCTAAGTACGCTACAGTTGACAATTCTGCAATCATATTAGGCGATCTGAACCTTCATTAGATCTAGATATACCAGACAACAACGATACGAGAAAATTTACAAGTAACCTTGATGCATGTGGTATGCATCAGCATGTACAAGAACCAACCCATGTTGCAGGTCATACATTGGACGTAGTGATATCAAGGGAAACAGACAACATTGTATCAAACATAGAGGTCATAGATCCTGGACTCTCTGACTCTAGTGAAAATATCTTACGTGACCATTTTGCTGTTACATTTGCTGTTAAAGCCTCAAAACCTGCACCGGTACGGAAATTGGTTTCTTACAGAAAACTTCGCGCAATTGACATTGATTCTTTTCGAGATGACATACGGAAAACGGAATTCTTCAACAAAGAGTGTATCCCTTCTGACATAGATGGTTTTATGATTCAGACAGTCTAACCTCTATTTTGGATAAACATGCTCCGATGATTAACAAGACTATTTCATTGAGACCTGCTTGTCCGTGGTATACAGAGCAACTCCACGAAGCCAAGCATGAAAAACGTAAACTGGAACGGAAATGGCGTGAAACTAAACTTACAATAGTCCACCAGATCTACAGAACACAATGTTCTAGTGTGAACAAGATGTTAAAACAAGCTCGTGTAGAATACTATACAAGTAAAATAGAGTCTTGTGGCAATGATCATAAAAGTCTATCTAAGATTACCAAAGGTCTACTTGGAGATACAAATGAAGTGATTCTACCATCTGATTCATCTTCAGAGCGCCTTGCCCAGAAATTCAGTGACTTCTTTATCGGAAAGATTGAAACAATAAGGAATAACATACGTTCTCAAACAAAATCGGTACCTGATAATGTAGATATGGAATCTGAATATACGGGTGTCAAATATACTGTGTTTGCTCCAACCACATAACAAGAAGTTAAAGCATTGATTAAAAAATCAGCCACCAAATCCTGTGAGTTAGATCCCATTCCAACATGGCTGTGAAAAGAATGCCTAGATGAACTAACACCAGTGATAATCAGTTTCATAAACGTGTCCTTGGATGCCGCTTATGTACCAAAAATGTTCAAACACTCACGAATAAGACCACTTCTAAAGAAAGCAAATCTAGATCCTAACGAACTGAAAAACTATAGGCCTGTGTCTAACTTGCCATTCCTGTCTTAAATCTTGGAAAAGGTCATTGACGTACGAATTGAGAGCCATCTGAAGACAAACAATCTACACGAGGTCAACCAATCGCAAGTTCCATTCGCCCGAGACTGCATTGTTAAAAGTTCAA